GAAATAATATCACCAGTTCTCATCCTCCTTCCTTTCATTTTCTAGTTTTAATTTTCTGCCAGGTTCTCATCTTTAGACCTGGAGAAGAATAAGGTTTTTCTTCTTCTTCTTTTAAGATAAAAAATAATAAGAAAGGGTCTATTGTCCCAGAGTGGGCCAAGATTCAGGTCTCCTCTTTACCATTCTCTTCTAGTGCAGAAACACTGACCTTCCAGAAGAATCCACCACTTCTATCAATAGGGTGGGATATGAGGAGATATGTCGGATGGAAATAGCATTATAGCCAGGTTTTCATAGAAGACACTCGTAACTGGAATTTAACTGAGTAACTGTACAAATACTCTTGGGGAAATGCCTCTAAATTATTAATAATGCTAGTGTTTAACACTTTAAGACATTACCAAACCATGACAGGCAATAGAAGAAGCAGTGGTTTAAAAGACCAGAAAAGCCTGAATGTGAATACCCTTTCTCCCACGCACCAGCCAGGTGAGCACAGGCCACCTCTCTGAATCTCCATTTCGTAGGCCGGAAAGTGTAGACACTGTTACCTCCTGCACTGCAGCATTGTGGAGCTGACATGAGGTGAGGCATGGACTTAGCATGGAGAGCAGAGAATAAACACTCAGGAAACATCCAGTTACCTAAAGCACGAGCAGCAAAATAAACACGTGGAAATATAACAAACTGAAAAGCTTCTGCACAGCAAAGGAAACCATCAACAAAGTGAAAAGACAACCTACAGAATGGGAAAAAATATTTGCAAACTATATATCTGATAAGGGGTTAATAGCCAAAATATATAAAGAACTCATACAACTCAATAGCAAAAAAAAAAAACAAATAACCCAGTTAAAAAATGAGCAAAGGACATGAATAGACATTTCTCCAAAGAAGATATATGAAAGGCCAACAGGTACGTGAAAAGGTGCTCAACGTCACTCATCATCAGGGAAATGCTAATCAAAACCACCATGAGAGGTCACCTGACGCCTGTTAGAATGGCTATCATCAAAAAGACAGAGAGAGAACAAATGCTGGTTTGGAAGTAGAGAAAAGGGAACCCTGGTGCACTGTTGGTGGGATTGTAAATTGGTACCTCCACTATGGAAAACAGTATGGAGAATCCTCAAAAAATTAAAAATAGAACTACCATATGACCCGGCAATTCCACTTCTGGGAATATACTCAAAGGAAACAGAAACACTAACTGAAAAAGATACCTGCACTTCCGTGCTCATAGCAGCATTATTTACAATAGCCAAGATATGGAAACAACCTAAGTATCCATCAATGGATTGGGGAAAAAAGTCGTGGTATATATACAATGGAATATTATTCAGCCATAAAAGAATGAGGAACTCCTACCATTTGCAACAACATAGATGTACCTTGAAAGTGTTATGTTAAGTGAAATAAAGCCAGACAGAGAAAGACACATTCTATACTATCTCACTTACATATGGAAACAAGAACAACAACAAAAAACCCCACCAAACTCATAGAAAATGAGATCAGCCTTGCGGTTACCAGAGGCCAAGGGTGAGGGGAGAGAAAATTGGAGGAAGATGGTCAAAAGGTACAAACTTCCTTGGGGCCGACCTGGTGGAGTAGGTTAACCGACCTGATTAAGGGCACGCGCTCTGCTTCAGCTGCCCAGGGTTCACAGGGTCGGATCCCAGGCGTGCATGGATGCATCAGTTGTTGAACCACGCTGTGGCGGTGTCCCATATAAAGTAGAGGAAGTGGGCATGGATGTTAGCCCAGGGCCAATCTTCCTCACAAAAAAAAAAGGTAGAAACTTCCAGTTATAAAATAAATAAATACCAGGGATGCAATGTACAACATGACTATAGCTAACACTGCTATATGATATACAGGAAAGTTGTTAAAAGAGTAAATCCTACGAGTTCTCATCACAAGGAGAACACTTTTTTCTCTCTTTTCTTTTTATTGTATCTATATGAGAAGATGATGTTAGCTGAACCCATTGTGATCATCATTTCACAATATATGTAAATCAAACCATCATGCTGTACATATTAAACTTATACAGTGATGTATGTCAATTATTTCTCAATAAAACTGGAAGGAAAAAAAAAAGAAAATGTCAAGTTATCGCTACAAGAGAATCCCTTCATGCTGAGGCCCAAAAAAGCCGAATAACCTGAGCAAAGAATCACAGAAAGTCAGTGATGAGGTCAGGCCTGAGATCTTAGGAACTGAACAACTTCCTCTATTTTTGCACAAGACTCTGTCATGAGGCATTTTCCAGAAAACAACGCTCAAGTATATTTGTGAGTGTTTTGTATGAAAGAAAATAGTTATCCAACAAATCTGGGAAGCACTGGGTTAAATAAAGAAATATCGTGTTTGGTTGGGTTGGGTTTTAAGTGCAGGACTTCTCAGAGTCTTGAATTTGCTAATGTGCATTGTGAATTTCCAAGAAGGGGACTATAACATAATAAAATTATTCTTTTCTTTCTCCTTGCTCTCCTTCTCAGAACAAACTTTGCCCTAAGAGAAACCCAGCCAGAGAAGTCTGGGTGTTGATCTGGAGCAGGTTCAAGGAGGTGATACATGAAACAAGATTCCCTAAAATGGTATCACCTGAATACCAGGGTCAGGGAAGAGAAAATGAGCTGCCTCAGGGAGACCGGGGGTGACACCACACCCTCACCTGGGACTTCATCTGTCTCACAATGTCCACTCTTTAAGGAAGGGAGGCTTTGTCCTTCTTTTCTCTTCCTCTCTTTCCTTCTCTCCCTCCTCCTACCTTCTCCTTACGCCATTGCAATTTCTGACCTCTACTTTCTTTCTCTTTCTTTGACCCATCTCCCTTCCTCCAACCACAAGACCATCCTCCTTTAAGTTTCTAGACCTGCCACAGGGTTCCACCCAAGTCAGAGGAACAACTACTAGGGACCCTTTGTTTCTGAAATGTAAACCTACTGTCCGAGGGAAATGGCTCCTTCCACGGGTGGTGACCATCTGGAACGCAGAGAGTGGTGCCTAAAGCAAGCGTGGGAGCTTCTGGTTGGGAAGGCCTCAAGTTAAAGCTCTCCTCTCCTTTCCATTGGCTATGTGACCTTGGACAAGTCACCAACCTCTTTGAGACTTTTTCTCTTATTTTTAAAATGAAATTGTTTCGAGAGTTAGTGGTAATGTGTGTAGAGTCCCTGGCATTTGGTAGGGATATGATAACTAGTTAACTAGGATTGCAGTCATACTAATCCTTACCAAGGAATCATTTATTATGTCTGTTATGATTATTTTGTACATAATTTCTCTATACACATTAAATGTCATGGAATTTTCAACTTGTTTTTGTTCTTCTATTAGAAACTGGGAAGTTTTCCTATTCCAAAAGATTAATAATATATGTGTCCAAGGTGTTTCCTATCACTAAAATGGGCAATACCACTAAATAATAAGATGTAAACAAGGAATGCCACCCAGATCGGGCCGATGGAAATTATATGCATTCCTACAGTAATCCAAACAGCACATATCTGAAAAAAAAATTCACCCCATTAACCTCTCACAGCAAAGCATACTTTTTTTTAATTGGTGTCATAATAGTTTATAACATTGTGAAATTTCAGTTGTACATTATTACTTGTCAGTCACCATATATATGTGCCCCATTACGCCTTATGCCCACCCCCCAACCCCCTAGCCCTCTGGTAACCACTAATCTGTTCTCTTTGTCCACGTGTTTATCTTCCACATGTGAGTGAAATCATGCGGTGTTTGTCTTTCTCTGACTGGCTTATCTCAGTTAACATCATACCCTCAAGGTCCGTCCATGTTGTTGCGAATGGGATGACAAAGCATACTTTTAAGTAGCACTTCCCCACCACAAAAATGTTCCTATCTTTTGACTCAAAAATTCCACGTTTGGGAATTTAAGCCTAGGAAAATTTCTCAACATACTGAAAACCTTTAAACATAAAGATGTTCATCACAGTATTATATATTATTGAATAAAACTGGAAGCAAATTAAACGTCCAACATCACCAGAATGGTTGAGTAAACTCTGATAACGTAGGTGATAGAACACATGTAGCTGTTTGCAGTGATGCTTCCAAGTGAAAACAGAGAGAAACATTACACAGTGAGTGCTCATGACTATGTAGACCTAACAAAAATGCATGGTTAAAGAAAACACTAGAAGGAAATACAGCAGAACGTAAATAAGACCTCTCTCTGGATGGTGGGCCATAGGTTAATTATTTTTATTTTTCAAAATGATTTATAATAGAAAAATCTTACATTACATTTTTTAATTGTGCTAAAATATAACATAGCATAAAATTTACCATCTTAACCATTTTTAAGTATACAGTTCAGTGGCATTAAGTTCACATTGTTGTGCAACCATCACCACCATCCATCTCCAGAACTCTTTCATCTTCTAAAACTGAAACTATGTACCCATTAAACAACAAGTCCCCATCACCGCCACTCCCAGCAACCACCATTCTGTTTTATGTTTCTCTGGGTTTGACTTCACTAGGTACCTCATAGAAGTGAAATCATACAGTATTTGTCATTTTATGACTGGCTTGTTTTCACTTAGCATAATGTCCTCAAGGTTTGACCATGTTTGTGCCAGTATTTCCTTCCTTTTAAGGCTTAATAATATTCCATTGTATGTCTATACCACATTTTGTTTATTCATTCATCTGTTGATGGACAGTTGGGTTGCTTCCACCTTTTGGCTATTGTGAAGAATGCTGCTATGAACATGCATGTATAAATATCTCTTCCACACGTTATATTTTAAAGTTTTGTTTCCTAAACTGGCTCTTCCTTTCTAGGTCCCATCAACTGGTTATTTCATACTCTAGACCAGATTTAACTATGACTCTATGCAGAAAATTAATACCCATGAAATAGCATAGGTGGGCAATTCGACTACCCAGGTGCAATAACCCCCTGAATTATTACTCAGAAAATAATGCATCTTTTTCTGTTGTTCTGATTCCCATTACAGGACAAATGCCTTAGTTTCAACTTTCCAGCCTGGATCCCCTCACACCGAGTCCTTCTTCGTTGCACCACCCCGCTTCTGACATTGACGTCCTCCCGACACCCTGCTCTGAGAAGACTGCCAAAAAAAGAAAAAGAAAAAATACACCCCAACCATTTCTCTTCATCCTCACTAACCATTTGGTAATGAAGTATTGATTTCCACTTCTCTGCTTATGGACGATATTAGATTTTCATTGATAAACTGCAATGGGGCTATCTCGTCTCCACGGTCCTCTATTCACTGTCGTGAGAAAACAAAGTGCCACTGAAGAAAAATCATGACTGGGAACGTTGATGTACTTATTTTGTCAGTTTGTAACACTTGACAGGAAAGGGCGGGGGAAGTATAAGTCTTCATAGTTTAATGTCCAAGTGGGCTGCACCGTACGTAGACTCTTGGAAGCTTACTTTTCATGGTAATGTCCATTTCCTATTTATAACCCCTCTGGGAACGTTTGTCTAAAGGAAACGTTTCTGTTCAGTGCAACAATTACAGTTGCACCTGGATTGCCCAGTCCTGCCCCTGCACTGGGGAGCCATTAGTCACCACAACGTGGAAGAATTATTAAGTTAAACCAGAGTTTGAGCCAAGAAAACCTCTGAACAATGTTCATCTTCTGTGAGAGTTGTTCACATAGTTAGACTTAACCATGTTGCTGCCAAAGACTTTTTCCCATGCAGTGGTGGGCATCTTTACCATCATCATTATCTTAATTGGTTAAAAATAGTAATTTTAAGCGCGCGCCACTGTCACACGAGACCTGCAAACTGGGAGAAATGGGGAAATTGGTGAGATGTGGAATCTGAGAGCGAGCAAGAAGATGAGATCATTGCAGGGTGGAAAGTTCAGCGGCAGCCTTTCCTGGTAACGTCTTTCTGCAGGACCCGTTGTTTACGAGCTCTAAAACGCTGCTAAGCTCTAGAAGCAACAGAAAGCATGAAATAGGGTGTCCAATTTAAATGTGTTCCTGCAACTTTTTTCATTAAAACTTTGAGGGCCCAATTTTAATTTGTGGAATATTCCCGTTAATAATGAGATCTAATTAAGACATCCATTAAAAGCCCGTTAAAGTTAATTTAACGTAAAAATTCCAATAGAACTGTATTAGATTTTCTCCATTAAATTAACGTTATGGATTTTTAACGGATGTCTTAATTATACGTTATTATTAACGGGAATACTGTATTACACAGATTAAAATCAGGTCCTAAGTCAACTTTGAAAAGCTAAGAGCATGTTTTAATATTAAAAGTCTTGCATACCTAGTGCACAGTTTGGAAATTGCAGGGGTAGATCTGTTTACTCTAGTTGAGCATTTTCTATACAACTGAAAGCAACCTATAATAGATAAATCCATCATTGCATTTAAACAATGAATTTCCTTATTCTCAAAGGACAAATAAGTCTGGAATGTGTTGTAAACTACTACTCAGCTATAGGTAAAATATTTAAACTATTCTAGGCACAACACTAGGAACTAGATGATTCTGAAACAAAGGAAATATTTTTGTTGTTGCTTTAATTACCAAGGTTATCACAAAAATATCTCAACACCACAAAATGAAGCCAAATATACCCTTTTTACCATTTTTCTCATGGAGGCTGCCTGTTGGAATTGTTTTGGAAATTTTGACATGATCCCTAAATTCAACATCGGGATTAAAAAAAAAAACTTCTTATTTACCTCCTAGGGAAAGTGTTGCCCTTATGCCACATATAATAGCAAATTGCTTTTTTTATGGCTTGCATAACCTAGATGGGAAAAAATATGGCGCTTCGGGGAAGGAGGGAAAAAGTAAATGAAGTTCCAGGAATGTCATTCTGAAGTAATGAGGCATGGACAGAAAATATACCCCTCACATCATCGGATTGAGATGGCAGTCGAAATAGCTTCATTGAAGTGTCAGCACTCATCCATCAATCAATCACCCACAAGGAAAAATAGCAACAGTACAACGGGGCGGCTTTTATGGGATTTACTCATGGGCATAGGGAATAGCGGCTCAAATGTAGTTCTGACATGAAAAGCAAGGTGCTGATATTATTTTTTATGATGGGAGGATCATAAAGTGAATTGAGAACAGCGAGGTCTGTCTTTGCTTAACCTATTCAACCAGAAATGAATGGAGCTCGACTGGAAAGGAACCCTCTTCCGATGGGGTAAGAGTGAAGGGTAGACTCTACTGAGCCCTGTCCCTCCACAATGCAATTCTATCAAAGGAAAATCAACGCATTAGCATTGGGCTTCTTGAAGCTGTTAAAAATTGCCTGCTCCAACCCAGGGTTATTAGATAAAGTTACAATAATTCGGATTCTGCCACAACCGTCAGAAAGCAGATTCTTGAGCTCTTCCTCCAACTGGGGGGAAACAATACGATTCTCAACTCCATGGAAATTGTTGCTATTCTAAGAAAGAAAAAAATAAACCCTCTGCTTCAACATATAATCTATACGGTTTTGTTAGCGCAATTTCTTTTGAGGGGTGGGGTGGGAGGCAGGAGACAAAAATCTTGATAAATTTGGTAAGACTCATGAATCGTCACTTGGTAACCGTGAATGTCACTGCGGAGGGACAGCTACCAATGTTCTCCTTAGGAAACAAGATCTGGGCTCGTGTTGTGAGTTACACACAGCTCCAGTATATTCCTAGAGAACAGGCCTGTCTTCATTTGGCAAACCCTGTGAGGTTTCTAGAAACTTCTTTCTGGAGGGAAAAACTAAATGACATGAACTCAGGAGAATGTTTTCAACTGCTTTCATACCATTCTCTTCCTCTCTCTGAAAAAACGGAGTTCTGATAAAATGGAACTTTAGAAATGGAAAGGAAGATGACATGCAAATATCATGCAAATTACACTCAAGTATCTCCATTCCACCACCAGCTCTTAGTATCAGTGACGGTGAGAGATTGTCTTTCCTTCCCCATCCCTCCTTCTAGCTAAGGCTACCAACTAGCTGCAAATTGAAATGTCCATTGAAAAAATTGTATATAAATATTTAAGTGTTATGTATTTGGCCCCATTTTGTAGTTCAGCAAATTCACCAAATATACCACATGTTACAAAGTATAGGGACACAAGGCAGAACAGGAAACACAATGTATTCAGCAAGTTCATTCAAAAAATATCAGTGGACACCTACTCTGTGCACGACAGTGTTCTAGGTGCTATGGGACACGACAGTGGACAATTCACACCACATCGTGGTCCTCCTGTGATTTATAGCAGCTCCTGAAGGTAGCTAAGATGAGACACCCGGGAGAGGAGCTCACACAGGGTCCAACTCCCCTGGTGTTTTATTCCTGTTTTTCAAAATAATGATATTTCAGAATAGGGAATTCTCCTTCTGAAAAGCATGCAGGGAGGAAATAGCTTAAAAATAGGTCAAGGCCTAAAAGCAGAATATAATCATAGAATAAATTGGATAGCCCAGACAGTCCCCACAGAATTTTTTTAAGGTCACAAATAGTTTTCTTAGAACTCACCCCCAAAATGTGCCTGCTCCATTGTTTGAGTCTTGCATAATTAATATCACAGACACTAGCCGCTGAACTTGGTTGAAATGCAGAAAACAAACAAAAGAAATGACATATTTGGAAAGCATTTATGTAGCTCTGGTTAAGCAGTGAGGAGGTGTGCGTGAGAGTATGCATGCATGTGTATGTATGTAGTCTTACATATATATATATATTCATATATATACGAATATATATATATGAATTTCACTGTTATTTTCCAGTGTCTGTGGGAAGTGTCACAAGTAAGAGTCTATGATTTTCTGAAACTTTTCACGGTAAATCCAAAGATTACAAGGCCTTAAAAGGTGCTTGCATTCTGTGGCTCTTCCATCTGTCACTTCCCAGGTTATTTGACTGTTATCTGGTGTTCAAACCTTTTTCATGGGGTTTCATTTTTTTAAGCTTGTTAAGTGTTTTTGTTAAAAAAAATTTTTAAATGTCATTTTCACTTTATCTTCTATTCTCTGCAACAAGAATAGAAGTGTATTGATGAATGCTAAAATAATAATAATAAGGAAATATATCGAAGGCTTTAAACACACACACATATATGTGTAGCTCTAAAGAGCAGTAAAAGCAGTATCTATTTTGAACATGCATTAGGCAAAAAAAAAATCACAACTAAACTTGCAGTTTATTATTTTTCCCCTGTGAGATGTTAAAATGCTAATTTCATTTTCTCCCTTCCTATATGTGGCACTTTCTCAAAATAGCCATGAAATACTTTTAGACAAAGATTGAGCAGGAGAAAGAGATACAAATTTCCATCCCCCCAGACAGAGAGACATGTTTCCATTGTGAGGAAGCATTCAACATTTTGAAACTTGTGAATCATCTTTAGAAATTTCTACAGGGGAATTTTACCTCTTCATCCAAAGTAAAAGCCACTTATCTCCTTTGGTTTCCTGTGACAGATTCAGAGGCACACGCAGATATACAATTTCCAGGCTTTAGTTAATCTTCTTCCAATAGTTACGAACAATGGGCCAACGGGCGTGGGTGTTACTCCAAAAATTATTCATGCACAAGGCAGCCCAAAGCTTCAGGGAAAACTAGAAATGTTTTATGGATTAGAATAGGACTGTTTTAAAATGCTAGTACCAGGTGGAACGTTATTTCTGCAACAGAACTCCGTCCATTTCCTTTGGAAAAATATATTCCAAGTAAAATGGCTCTTCCAAGTAATGGCACTCTGATCTGACACCCTTTAGCACATAAATGATTTTCCAATAGCCATATGATTATCATTAAGGCCTTTTAAAAAACGATCTGTTTGAAAAAGACAGATTAAATACTCACAGCCCTTTGTACGATGTTTATTTGCTCAAAACCACTTTTGGAAGTACAAATAATAACTCTTTTGTGAGAACCCCCAAGAGAAGTTGAAAAATTTGAACAAATGCATTACTTAAAAAAAAAAAAAAAAATCTACCACTCCCTTCCACCCCTCCAGAAAATGAATTTCAGTCTGTTCACTGAATTATCTTGAACCTGAAACCTGCATTTGGATATCAGTCCCCAGGCAAAGGCTTATATTTACAGAACTTGAACAATCATACGATTATATCTC